GCCAAAATTATGAGCATTTATTCTGCATTAAATCAGAGATTTTCTTCATGCATACAATGTGTTCTGCTCAGCCCAGCCATTACTGAGCAGTTTTTTCATCCCTATTGTCTGTATAGAACAAAATGAAGCATTTGAAGAGCTACAAGGAACAAAAATAAAATAAAATGAATTTTGCTAGCTGGTTTTAAAAATTATAAGAACAAGTACAAATATGAGGTGGTGGTTGTAAATATGGAATCTTTATGTTATATGTAAGGTTACGACATTTAATAAAATCTAATGACCACAATGCTGTTGTTTAGCAGAGCAAATTACATTAGAGTAGCCCATTGACTCAATGGCAATTTGGTGAGTCAACTCTTTTTTAAGTTTCATTGATTCAAATGGGCTTATTCTGTGACTTACTATGCTAAGGAAGGAGTTGACACCCCAAATTCTTATTGATTCCATGGGCCTACCCCAGTGTCATTTACTATGCTAAGAAACAGGATTTTCACCAATGCGTGCTTCATTCTGCACGTGCAATTCAATTCTAGCTATCATTCTTAATGTACCACAGGTTGACATAGATAATGAAAAACAGTATCTGTTTAAATAAACTATACATTTTGGGGTGAGAACTGTCTTTCTAGAGACACTGTATACTTGGGAAACCCTATTGGTCGTATGTGGACTCCAGTATCATTTGGCTGTCTAGATGTTGTGAGCCCACTCTTGGTCCCTTCATGGAATCATATCCAGTCTTCCTGTATTGGTGTGTGAAGTGAGAGAGCATGACGAAGGCAAGAGAGATGCAGTAGTGGAGAACAGAAGTAATAATCCAATATACTCCAAACACTACCCATCTTTCACTTTGTCTTTGCTGAGCATTGATTGACTAAGGCACCTAAAGGCTCAACAAACAATGAGGAAAAGGATTCCTTACCCATGGTGTAGGCCACTGTGACATAGCAATTAGGCTGATGAACTCAAGAGACCTGGATTCAAATCATCATACATCAGGAATGGCTCGACAGCACATAACAAAAGCCGCCACCCCCATGATGGAGATGTTCGCTTGAATTATAAATTAGTATTTTTGGTGATCGAGTTACCCATTCATCATGCTAGATATCATTGTTTGCGAAAAAGATGAAGCACTAATGGAAAGTTGATGTAGGTTTAAACTAGATGGATCATCAAATATTTTGCAGAGGTGATTCTCCAAGCAAGTTTTTACTTACCTACACATATTGCATTTAGTGTGTTTTGTTTTGTTACTGATTATTAAAAGGTAAGCACTGGCTTAATTTGCATGTCTAATTGCTGACATTTGTATCTTTGAAGGAGTGGATGGGATCTAGTCAACCGGAGTAAATACATATTCCCATCAGCCATTTTTCACATACTGTATCTACTAAATCGCACAAATAGCTCAAATCAACGCTGGGGCCATGAGTGCGAATGTGACCCCAATATTCATATGTCATCTCACACTCAGATGTCTGTTAGTCTCGTGAAGGACATGGAGTTGTTGCAGTCCTTGTTCTTCACATCCATCACAAGGGATTAATGGAAAGTGATTCTTAGCAAATACGCTGCATGTGTTTGTGTAGATACAGTATTGTGTTTAAGTAGGAAAGATAGCTATAATCTCACATACATGTGCCTAAGAGTAAGCCCCCAATGAACTCAGTGGGGTTTACTTTAAGATAAATGTGAGTATCAGGATCAGCTCAGCCCAAAAGCCACCTTAGGTCCTTTTAAGGAGAAAGGTGGGTAAAAATATTTTAAATAAATATAACAAATTAAAATTACAGGAGATGGTGTTCCCCCCCTCCTTTCAGGCATGAGTTGCTTATGATAAATAGGATTGTACTGTGTTATGTCTCAACTCAGGAACTCTCCCCCCCCATGCTCTTTGTAAAGGGCTGACACCCCAGTGTCAAGAGGACAACTCTTTCATTACATTTAAATTGCTGTGTGATGTGGAAGCCATTCAATGATTCCCTTGAAATAACTGCTAATTCAACTGCTATGTCACTTGTGGAGCTGTGGCTTCTGGTAAATTCACCACATAAATGCCACGTTATTAGATAGTGAAACTCAACTAAACCAAAGGTGGACATTCTTCTTTCTTTGAAATGACTCTAGTTCTTATTGACTGTGGTGATAATCAAAGCAGAAAGATAACATTGCTTGGCAAACATAGGTCAACCATTACATTGACTTTATGGTACTTAGATGTGGTGGGGCACACCCCACAGCACCAGGAACTATTTCAGATTAAATTCCCTATTGCCTCCTGTCCACAAGCTGTTCTGGTGTGACCAGGCCTCTGATACCATTTTGTGCAAACATCCATAATAAATTATTTGCTTTGCCAACCCATCCCTGCTTGAAATATTGGCATATAAGCAAAATAAATCCCATTTCCTTTCCTCAGATCTTGCAGTCTTCTCTTCAAGACTCAGCAACAAGTAAGGTAAGTTCTAATCTCATTTATAACAATAATTATTATAGTCTTACAACTGCTGGAAGGGACCCTATGGATCTGTGTGTCCAGCCCCCTGTCAAGGATGCACAGTGGGGAATCAGACTCTCGACCTCTGGATCTGCAGCCAGATGCCTAAACCACATAGCTATCCAGTAGTTATTTGGCCTCTCTCTTGCTTGTTTGTAAATTATTTTTCTTCAGAATAAATCTGGAGAGCATGGTGTTAAAAATAGAGATCCATTATAAACTCATACTTCCAATTGTTCTTTGTATTGTCAAGTTCTATCCTGGATAAAAATTCAAAAAATCCCTGGAATTTTTGCATTTTCCTTACAATTCTTGGGGAAGTTTAATTAAAAAACAAGGAACTTCAACATTTCAGCTGGACAGAGTAGCTTCATATTAGGCACCATACACATATGTATCAATATAACTGCAAATTACGTAGAGATCTTGGGAGGTTGAAAGAAATACCTAACATGTGTCTTTTATATGTGAATATAGACAAATAGGAGAACTCACAACTTTTGTAATAAAAGTTACATTTACTCATTGGAAGCTACTGAAAGCTGGATGCTACCTTTCAATTAATTCTGTAGCATTCTTACTGGGCGATGTTTTTAGGAGGAACACTTTCAGATGAATTTGTTGTGGGAGAAAAACAAGTACCACAATGATGTATTTTTTTTGTAAATACCAATACTGTTAGTAATAGAGAATTTTTAAAGGCTGTCTAATTCAACCCCACCATTCCATGCTGGCTGGATGCAGCTATAGCACCTCTAGCAGCAGGCCACCATAGTTCTGCTTAAAAGATAAAGAAAAAAACCCACCACCTCCCAAAGCAATCTGTTCCACTGCTGAATAGTGGAAGAGATTGCTTTGGGAGATGGTCCCCCCCCCCTTCTCTGGAGTTCAGTAAAACTCATTTACTGTTTAGCTGAAAGTTCCTTTCTTCCCTTTGGTGCAATTTGTTTTCCCCTTGAAAGCAAAAGGAAACAATGTCTAGCTAAGGGCACAAGACTATTGTTGGGGCTGCTAGCTTTTCTGGAATTAAGACACATACATTTCATAGACTTCATTTTTTTTTTACTCATCTGTAGAGTTAAATCTTTGTACTTATCATTTCAAAACTCTGGATAACACAGGTTTAACACAGGTTACACATAGATGGTTAATAGCTTTCTAGAGACCTACAAGCAGCATTACAAAGCATCCCCTGCTTTTATTTTGGTATGTAGCTTTCCCTACATACCATCATTTTCAATGATGCATCAATGAAACTAGTCTGAAGGTTTTAAGAGCATTTTAGTTTTTACCCTGAAACTCAACCCCCCCACACCTCAAATCAATTCTGCTGCAATGGATGGATTGGATTCTGACTTTGGCTGCAATCATATACCCCCTTCCCAACCTGGGCTTAAATGGAACTTCTAAGCCGACGTATGTAGGATAATACTGTAACGTAAACATGGCTTAACTGGGTAAGTTAGTAGTTCATTCAGTCCCTTTGATTTTAATGGGGAACTTCATGCAACTTTATTAGCCTAACTCCAGTCTCATATGTCCCTTTGATTTTAATGGGGAACTTCATGGAACTTAATTAGCCTAGCTCCTGATACGTATGAATACATTTTGGTGTGACTATTGCAGTGATTGTTGACATTTTTCAAAAGGAATCCTTTTTTTGTGTGTGTTAATCTAACGAATGAACACCTACACTTAAAAGGAATATAGCCTATTTCAGAGAAAATAAGGGAAAAGTTGCCTTCCTGCAGGAGTGAACATTGACTAGGCCAGAAGCTGGTCCGGTTAGTTGTTGAGCTCTGTTGTTCTATATGGGGAATGCAGGAATATAGCCTATTTCAGAGAAAATAAGTGAAAAGTTGCCTTCCTACAGGAGTGAACATTGACTAGGCCAGATGCTGGTCTGGTTAGTTGTTGAGCTCTGTTCTATATGGGTAATGGGAAGAAATGATACAGAATTAGGGTGCAAAAGTGAACTTTTATCTCCATGGGATGTCTGTACAGTTATAAAGCTACTTGTGACCCCTTATTAGAGTTTCAGTGCAATGGTAAACACTGATATTATTGTTACACAAAAATGCTCAGATGCACACTGTATTAGGGTACCCCATTTCTAGTTATTTAGGACAGCTTCCAATGCCAACTACTTAAATGTTTTAATTTCTTAAATTGGTCCTTGATTATTTTAAAAATCCCATTTCAGGTTTCTGTAAATCCTTGGATATGTGCAGCCCTGGACCTCTGATTCTTAGCTGGTCTTTCCTTTTTCAAATCCCTCTCATTCATGTAGAATCTGGATGGCTTGGCTCTTCCAGGTTGTGCTTCAAAATGTGCTGCCCTGCTGGAAGTGGCATGGGAGAACCTGTTGTGGTTGGGTGGAAATACTGAAAGAGTACAGAAACCATTTGATTCCAAGAAGTGTTAATGGCTTGGCTTACCTGCACTGGAACAGGAAGCAATCCGTTCCTAGCAGGACAACTCTTCATCCTGCATGCTCATGGTCACATCTTTTTCTTCTTCACACCAGGTTTCCAAGATGCTACTTCATTCAGCTCTTAGTTTGTGCTTTCTTGTTGCTTTTGTTGGAAGTTCTTTGTCACCTTTCACACAGGATGAGCTGTACTCAAAAATTGGCAATAACCATATGCTGGCAAAAAAGGATGTTGTGTCCCTGATCAATGTCCAGAAACCTCTGCTCTATGAAGGTAACCAAAATAAAAACAAAATCATGACTGAAAAGTGACATGAAAATTTAATTGGAGGGGAAATATATATTAGAAATTGTATTATTATTGCACTATGATGACGACGACATCAACAACAATGATACTAATGTAATTCTAGTCTTCACTAAGAGAATGGTAGGAAGTATACCAACAGCAAGTGACCTCTTTTATAGGTTAGACTTTCAGGTCATATAAGCTTTAATAGGTAACATCAGCATTTAATATTAGATCTTGAAAGACTACCTTCTCCCCCTAAGAACTTCTTTGATTTTGAGATCTTTGGGAGACTTCCTTCTTCCCGTTCCATCGATAGTCTAAGCACCTTTAAACATTCTGATAACCACACATGAGAGAAGCTTCTCGAACCGTCCGATGACAAGAAAACAGAGACTTGCCTCAGCACATAGTGGGCACCAAGCAAGCCATCTGGCTTCCTGAAATTAGAAAATCTGACTAGATCGATAGTCTGTCTTTAAAAAAGAAAAAAAAAGTGATATTGAACATTCCACACGGTGTAAATTCCACATTAGATGCCTTCAGTTGCTTTACCTTTTGTCTTAAGTGAGAACATTTTTGTTGAAATGTACTTCATATGTTCCTCAGGGGTAGGAAATGTGGCTCTCCGGATGTTGGAGGGCTGCAGCTTTCATCAACCCAAGAAGAAATAAATGATAGTGACAGATGATGTTAGTTGTAGTTCAGCAGCAACAGAGGGCCATATGTTTCCCATCCCTGCTGTAAATGGATGTCACCATCAGCACAAAAGTCTTCATGCGCTGGGGCCTCGTTTTCCTCTTTAAAACAATGGCCGTTGGGAGTTTCTTTGCACTAGGTTAGCTGAATCAAAAGGTTGTATTATACCTTCATACCTCTGTACTCAATGACTCTTCTTCCCACCTAACGTATTCAGACATTTTTTTTTCTTTCTCTCACCCTTCCTGTCTCCAGCAATTCACAAATGCATACAGCCACTGAGATGGCTTTGACCCTTTTGTAGTAATACCAAGACAACCATAGATTGCACAGATTTCAGGAAAATGCAGAATGAAGAGATGAGAATAATTATTGATGTAAATAAAAGATATGAGGGAAAATTAAATGAGCTGCAAAGTGTTGGTGTAGACTTGTCCCTAAAAGCCATTGGCATTTTGAATTACCTATGGATTCTCTTCCATAGCCAGTGCATGCAAGGTTCTACAGGAGTCTGTTTTCTGTTTTTAGAATTCCTGGCAAGAGACTGCAGGGCTGCCTTTCTCCGAGGTCGGAAGCGAAGTGGCCTCTACATCATCCGTCCCAAATTTTCTCCTTTGCTGGTGGTCTATTGTGATATGGAGCATGATGGGGGTGGCTGGACAGTCTTGCACAGAAACCTTCTCAGCCAAAAGTCGCCATCGTGGTCAAACAACTGGGATGCTTATAAGTATGGCTTCGGAAACCTGCTGGGGAACCACTGGCTTGGCAATGAATTCATGCACCGCTTAACTAAGCAGAACGCCTTCTCTGTGAGATTTGTTATAATTGACAGCAATGGGCAAATCAAGCATGCAGATTATCAAAGTTTTAGAGTTGATGGTGAAGACACCGGTTATGCTTTGAGACTAGGGAACTATTCAGGGAATGCAGGAGATGCATTGACCTCTTGGGGTGAAGCAGGAATCCATGACAACATGAGGTTTTCAGCCAGAGATCAGGATCATGACCGTAGGGTCTCTACAAACTGTGCACTAGAAAATGGTGGTGGGTGGTGGTATGATAACTGTTACTCAGCCCTGTTAACCAGTAATAACCAGATTTACTGGAAAGGGTTGTGCACAGAGCTTAGCAGCTGCTCCTTAGCTTCCATCATGATTAGACCAAATGGGAAGAACTGCAACAAATATTCAAAATCCTAATGAATTGTTGCCTACTTCTATAAAAGCATCCTCTCACTTTAACTCTGCTCTGTATCCCAAGCAAACAATATAGGCTGCTAGTAGAAGTCAAAGATTTAGGGTGTAACCCCTCAGGAAATCTTTTCTTGGACAAATCCCATTGAAAAGAATGAATGAAACCTAAGAAGATGGTAGCCATCATGGCTTTAAGCAATTCCCATTTGTTTCAGTAGCATCTGTCTCAAGACACCTGTCCATGAAGAAAGCTATTAGTTTTCTAGCTGCATCAAACAATGTTTAAAATATTTTGACTCAAATCCAAAGCTGATAAAAATACCAATGTTGATATCAAGAGAATTTCCACATCTTTCAAGTGTAGGAAAAACAGCGGCTTGTTAAAACAAAAGGCCAATACAAAGCAGAAAATGTCTTTATTTCTGTGCTTTTAATGAAACTTGTTTTAAACACTGTGATTTACAGAGATCTGCAATTAAACACAATCAGAAACGGCTGCTGTTTCATTGTCAAACATCAGTGTAAACATCAGTACAAAAGGATGTGATTTGGAAGAGTTTTACAAAGAAAGAATTAAAGTTCTAAAACTGGGGAAGTAAACATGTTTCTGGAATCTTGGGGGATCACTGCAGAACCCTCCAAAATTATGGAGTCCCCATTAATGAGGCAAAAACTGAGTAGGACACAACCTGTCCTATATCATTATATCCCCATGATTCACTGGAAGCTGGATGGATGGCTCAGTGAGAAAAAGTACCTCCCTGGAGCCTTGGGCAAGCTGCAG